GCCTCTCACAATTAAAATACTGCCCGCCCCCGGAAAAAAATTCTGGTTACGTGCCTGCGTACAACCGAAACAACCGCGGGTGGTGCATAATGAGGATCACACCATGCTTAGTTATTAAACATGGGGGGGGGGGGGGGGGGTTCTAGAACAGCGCTGATGTCATGAACGAAGTCGCAAAAGAAGAAAATTACTATTCTTGTGCTGCTCGTGTATATGTAAAAAATACTAAGATTTTGTAATCGCGAAAATACTAAACGTGCATTAAAAGAATATATATTTATTTATTGTCGCCTTGGGGGCTCTCGATAATTCGGCATTCGGTTAATTCGGAAAGTTTTCCTAATACCATGAATAAGGAATTAACGAGTCTTTGCTATACCGTGTGTGCGTATGCGTGTGTTTGTGTTTGTGTGTGTGTTTGTCATACAGAGCTCTCAGGTATAGTTAAAGGGTGGTAGCACTGGATTCGGCCCCTATAATTTTGGCGTAATTGCCATTACCGTGTTAAAAACATGTGATTAAGCACATGTAACAAAATCTAACACGTCTATCGCACTTTCAAAACCGTAAATCAAGTGCCTTTCTGTGCTATATGCGGGTCAAATTCATTACGCTCATTTCAATCTTGCTTCAGTAGTATTTTTGTTGTTTGGCTCAATATTGGCACAATAATTGCGCTTTGTGAACTTCTCATAAATGCTGAAATCTTAGTTAAATGCTCACTTTGCCTTTAAGATTACGCGGTGAATAGCCATTCACTTGCTATTCTATAATTGGCGACACCGACAAGCCATGGCAAGCGAATAAAATTTTCAAACTGCAGGTGGCATTAATGAACAGGCTTTCATTACACTAATGATCTATCTAATTTTTGCCTAATATTTTGAAGCCTGAATATGGTCACACGAAATTAACACTGATGATGAAATATACCACACAGTGACGCGGTACTGTATCTAAGAAACCTTGGGTCTGCTACAAAAATAACATTGCCATGAAATACTGTGAGTGTGACTTTTGCACAACTTAATGTCGTTGCACTAGAATGTGGTAGCTAATAGATATGAATCGTGAAAATATGCCATTCAGTTATTACTCATTTCACCTGTTAAAGTAACTATATGCACACAAGGAGAAAACTGGGGATGGGAAACGTTTCTTCTCTGTAGGAAGAAAACTCCCGCACAGATGCCGGAAGTTCACAGGGTCTGTTTCCAAAGTTCCCGGGATTTTCGTTTTATAGCTTGTTTGTTCAATATCGCCTTACTATCTTTCAAAACTCTTGAAAGTACTCTCCTCCGGTTTGATGCACCGTTGCAGACTCCTCAACCAATAATTAAATGCGCTTTGGAAGCTATCAAGGTAGCATCTTTCAAAATGAGGTCGTTGCAGATGCTTTCACAGTCTCCAGCACCCTGTGCCGAGCCCCCTTCAATGTTCGTTTGAATAATGGAAGCAAAAATAAGCCCAGTGGCGTCAGATCGAGGCTGCACAGTGGCCACGTGGCCACACCCATTTTGGCTAGCAACCAGCAGAAAACTAGTGTGGTGTGTATTTTCCTTCATCTGACTGGTGAGTACGTTTCACAACATTTTCACGCAGACTTCTCTTATTTGAAGATCTTCCGTCAAAACACCATAAACGGTTCTCTTGGGTATTCAACTCTCTTCTTGGATAATCCGAACACTTTACCGCCGGTCCTTGTCCAAAATTTGACCCACTTTTTGCGCCGAGTTGTCCATTTAGGATTTACATTGTCGTCCCGAGCGGTCGTCACCGTCGACAGACTTCTGACCTTTGCGAAACTTTCATGCCACATATATGTTTCGCATTGTTTTATCGCGCCATCACAGCAAGATTTCTGAATCATTTCAAGCACCCCCGTCTCATTTTTAGTAAATTTCACACAAAATTTGATTGTATAAAGTGGTTTAAAAAACTGGTCTATTTTTTTTCTCAACGAGGCTGTAGTTGTATACCACTGCAACAACTTGTCTCAGCAACTGTTCACAGGCAATCGAAAGTGGCAACCGAAAACATACGTTTTGAAGCGTCGTATATCCTCCACATATCCACTCGAAGCGCCGCCCCACCTGGTGGCGTTGTTGACTACCGAAAAATTTTCGGGCAGTTCTAGTAGAGACCCTGTGCATACACTGCTCACCAGTAAATGAGTTTCCAGAACTTTCCTGAAATGCTCACTCAAAGCCAAATATGTTAGCCAAATATGTGAGGTGCCCAAGCAGCCAAATTCGAGATAGCCCAGCTCTCAGGTTTTCCTTCGTGTTAAGAAAAGTCACAGCTTTGCCGCAAAGGCTAAGCAATGAATGCATAGCGAAATATTAGAACGTCACGCGAAAAATGGCAAGCAGATCAAAACGTTCCCCGCGTTTCTCACGCACAAATGACGCACGAAACGTACTCACCAGTACAGATGAACGCGAATAAGTGTTTCAGTGCTTACTTCGCTGTGTCTGAAAAGCGTGGCCTTTTCGCAAACGGAGACTGTGCAGCGAGTGTGGTAATCTTTGTGTGCCTGGTAACTACAACAGTATCATTCTGGTGAAAGCCCAAGGCGTACGATTCTTCTTACCGCGACATAAGCGCGCGCACGCGTAATCGTCTGCCCCCCCCCCCCCCCCTTTTTCACCCTCCGCGGTGGAAAATACGCGTGGGAGATGAACGCATGAGCGCAATGCACATTTGTCTAGTCTACGACCCAGTCATTGTTTCGATTAGCGCAGTGCTTTGTGCATGAGTACAAAGTAATTGTCCCGAACACAAGAGCAGCATAGCTTTTTCAAAGATGCATCAACTGATGGCGTGCATAGCCTCATATTTGTAAGATTTATTGACGTGTGTTTTAACTGTAAATTCTAACATTGAAAAAAGAAACTAATAAAACTAATGACTGAAAACGTGGTCACAATGGGCCAAGCAATCCTGCCACAAAAGCACTGTTAGTGTTTTTGGGAATACTCGACCTAAACAAAGTTTACGAATGACCCTTGAGTGTATATGAGCGTGTTTGGGGCTGCACGTACTATTGGTGTGTATATGTGATAGTTGCATAAATCGCAGTGAACACCCGACACATAAAGTATCAAACTAGGCGATAAACCAGGCTAACCCCTCCGGGAATTCCTTTGATTATTATTATCTCTCTCTGTCATTTCTTTTTTTTTTTTTGGGGGGGGGGGGGCTGCAAGAGCCTGTGGCATAGCATTAACAACGGAGCAATATCAGAGGCTGAAGCAAATATTTAGAAGGCGACTATTTATCACCTCCAAGTCACCCTTTTATTTCTGCCCCTACTCCCAAGGCCACGAGGCACTTTTATGCCCTGTATGTGATGACCGCTTTGTTTGCTTGAAAACGTGCACGTGCTGCGAGAAGCGAGCAGGCAGCGTTTACCTTGCATACGGCGCGTAAATTAGCCCTCCTATAGTCAGTGCGCCGGTATACGTCCAAACTCATCGCCCCGCCACACCGTTCGTTAGCGCATTTCACGAGGAGAGCGCTTTCGGCGGCAGCACACGCTCTCCCGGCGGATGTTTTCTGCCAGCTGAGAGTCGAGGTGTGCGACGGCGCCTGGGTGCCGGACGTACTACATCTCGCTCTCGGAGCCAGCAAGGTGTGTCGCCTGCGCGGGATCCCCGGGCCACCAAAGCGATCACGTCACTCTTACGTGCGCACACAAAGCGCTGCGGTAATTGTGGCGCGAATTTCGAAGCTTCACCCCAACGCCTTCGCCGCGAGCGCGCGCACAACGAGAAAGCATGCATATAGCGAAGCGGTAGAATCTTGACTAGTGGGCCTTAGCAGCCTCTGTTAAACCGAGAGGATCAGAACATCTATAGGCTGACGAGGCTCAGTATCGCGATTCATAGAACGCAGCTTGTGAAGATTGAGGATGAAAGTTTCATTCTCGATCTTTTCCATTCTGCGTTTTCCAGACTACATGCTGGTGCAATATAGAGGCCATGAAGCATTATGAACACATTAGCCCGGCGGGTAGTTTCTAGTGGACAACTGATTAATCACTACCCTAGATAACTTAGCAGTGAAGCATTACAGTGATGCTTATGCCTTGAGCAATAAATGCCAGGAGAGGGAGCATGAGTACGTGTGAGAGGGTCCAGGAAACACCGAGACGTTGTTCCAAGATCTCCTTACACATTCATGCTTCTACGCTGTCACCTAGGCATTTTATATTATGAAGTACTATACATGAATTATGCCTCTCATGTTATTATTGAATAGCGAGCATGGGAATGACATGTTCTTGAGCACATGCAGCAACTGTTGCATTGCGAATATTCCCACTTTGAGAGTGATGCTGAGAGCATATGTTACACACCTTGCTACGACAGAATAATCAATTGTGCAGCAGTTGAAACGTACAATGAAGTTGACGTTTCAAGGATTGATTATGTTCAGCTCAAGGCTGGCTAAACGGTGCCACAACGTCACCTCTCCCGGTTTCGCCCTTTCTCTGCTCCCCCTTACCCTTTGTCCTTGTCATTGCTGCACCTACATCCTTATCGTACTACTTATGGACACTACTAATACTGTATTATTATGCAATAGAACATGCACTTTGTAAAGATTGCGCGTTTCGGGCAAAAGCTAACGGAGTCTTTTGCCAAGGTTATTCACAATGATGAGCTTGGAAGGTTTTGCTCAATCAACGCAAAAATAGCCATTCAGGCAAGGAAGTGTTGGACTTGATGCCACTTCAACGAATAGGCTAAAACATGCTCTACTGCACTTGAGAAGGCACTCTGAAGAAAAATGACAAAATTATTCTTATGTGATCCAATGCAAAGATGCAATGTGTCCTACAGTTGGAACCAAGCACATACTTGCACCAATACCATAAGGTCGCATTAACTTTCACCGGAGTGGTATTTTTATATGCACTGCACTGAGCGCTCCATTGCGCGGTGCAATCAAGGCTTCTTGCAGTGCACGCTCTGCAGCAGCCGAAGGTGCCTCACCTGGGTGCATGGTGACTGAGTCCTGCGCCGGAGCGGCCACTCGGAGACCAGGCGTGCGGCACGGCGCGCATGCTGCGTGTGCGACCGCGCCAAGCAGGGCTGCACTGCGTCCACGGTGTGACGCGTGCACTAGCCTAGGCGTGACGTCAGCGGATACGGGGGCGGCGACGATCCATGCCTGGTTTGCTTTCGGCAGCTCTGTTGTCAAAATTCCCGCACGCAGCGTGATGGCTTCCTCAGTCCTTCACCCGCTTTCGCTTCCGGCTCGTCCGACGCGGCGCCGCTGATGCGCCGCGCGCACCTCCCTGGCGGCGGACAGACGACGCCGAGTAATGTGACGCTTGCCATTGAACGGGCCCATTTCGAAGTTCGCAGCCACGCAGTCAGTGATGGCGCGCAGCCGCGTCTAATGACAGCCCTGGGCCAGACGGTTCGGGGAAACCTCGGGCACTGACGTGGCCGGCCATGGCCCCGCTCGGGGACAGCCGGCGCCGCCGCGGGACCCTCCGTGCCCCAGCGTCATTATCGGAGCACATTCCACGCATTCTCGGCCGCAATCGGCACGGAAGGGTGCATCGACAGCTTGGCTGGTTTAGGCAACCCCCTAGTCAACCTCCGCGCCGGACCGCAGGGGACCACTGTCCGGTCACGCCCCGAAGGTCACCGAGACCCTTTCGAGAGCGCATCACTCAACCCATAGCAGAAATGTTCAGAAACAACAATGGTTTCGACAATGGTGCATGGCACCCGGTAGTAGGCACTCCTGCAAAAGTTAATGCAATCTGACCGTTATTCCAACGACCAGGTAGCTCTCAAGAATGTTGCTCGTGTATACATTGATGGCTTCTTCGATAGGCGCATAATATACTTTTGAAACTTTGAAGCTGGTGTGAATATTACATATTTTTAATTGGCTCCTACGAGTACAAATAAATTTAGGCCCCATTATATTGGGTGCTCTCCATAGAATCAGATAAGGATTGTACAAAATACTTCGTTTAAAATGAAGTTTTACCGATAGGACGCAATGCATTCGTGCAACCAGGCGGTTTTTCGCCAATGCGCTATCTATCTATCTATCTATCTATCTATCTATCTATCTATCTATCTATCTATCTATCTATCTATCTATCTATCTATCTATCTATCTATCTATCTATCTATCTATCTATCTATCTATCTATCTGTCTGTCTGTCTGTCTGTCTGTCTGTCTGTCTGTCTGTCTGTCTGTCTGTCTGTCTGTCTGTCTGTCTGTCTGTCTGTCTGTCTGTCTGTCTATCTATCTATCTATCTATCTATCTATCTATCTATCTATCTATCTATCTATCTATCTATCTATCTATCTATCTATCTATCTATCTATCTATCTATCTATCTATCTATCTATCTATCTATCTATCTATCTATCTATCTATCTATCTATCTATCTATCTATCTATCTATCTATCTATCTATCTATCTTAATATACTGGAATGTACTTGTTGCATTTCTCCTTAACAGCGTCCTTTATTAAAGCCTCACAGATTGACCATACAATCAAACACTGTCTACGTTAATGCATTCATATGTATAACTGATGCTATTTAACAATAGGCCACTACTCATATGAACAAGACGTGCAATAATTTTGTGGTGAATAATTATGCAGGAAAACTGTTTATGAAAGTTATCGCCAATGCTGCATGACTACACGTGAAAAAAAACGTCGAAATTGCGCAAGTCACAAAGCAATCACATTGAAAACAAAATCATGCTCAACACAATTATTCTTTTACGTGCTTACCGAAGTGTGCACCCACTTGAGTTGTGTTTTTTTTTCTTATGTATCATGCCCCCTTTTCTACAACAGCCTCAGATGTGAAGCTAGCAGTATCTTCAAATATAGTACTCTTTGTTCTAGAACTTCGCTGAACACCCCTGATTAGGCAAGCTAAACTGAAAATATTCACGAAATTTCAGTTCACTTACAAAGTGATGTCAAATTGACGCATCTGAGACCGATAAAAGTAACATCGGTGCTTCTCTCTGCAGTGCGAAGCGTTGCAGCTAGGTATTAATATACACAGAAGAGAAAAAAAAAGACTAAAATGCCCATGACCGGCAGCGTAGCGATTAGTGTAATTGCAGTCGCAGCTCCTTTCAACAATTTCGGTAAAATAGGCAAAACGAAAAGAAAGCGGAGATGGTGCAAGGTTGTCTCCGTAACTGCCGTAGATGTCCTCGGGTGCAGTGACATCTTCAGCACCCCTGCGTGAATCCACGCCCTTCTTCACCCTTCTACTTAATACCAGTAATCATGCGCTTCCATTGCCATCACTCTTCTGTACTTCCTCGTGGGAGTCTTTTAAGGTACCGTTAACCACAGGCATTGCCGACTCGGGGGGATTTGTAATGTTCTAACCACGTTCATTATCAAGCCGAGCTTATAGCCTTGTGGGGGGGACGAAATGGTTATCTCGGTCTGCTAGCTCATTTATCAAAATGTCTTTCGTATACAACAAGGCCAAGGTAGTTTCCCGGAATCTGCCCGTCAATGGCCATTTTGCCAGCAGTGTATTCTCGCGCTCACCGCAGCAGTCCACATTGTCCAGAAGCCTGGAGAGGGCAGACGCCCAAAGTGGTTATTCGCCTTCGCGGGGAAGGCCCCAATAATGATGTCCCGGCGTCCTGGTGAGGTGTTTGAGAACGACAAAACGCTAATAATATGAGTAAGAAAAACGAAAACAAACAACACAAAAACAAAAGCACTGAATAAACAGCAATGATAACACCTAGAAGAAAACGAAACAGTAGGTTTTTTCTTCTAGGTTTTTTCTTTGTTGTTTTCTTCTAGGCTTTTTCATTGCTGTTTTTCAGTGCTGTTGTTTTTGTGTTGTTTGTTTTTGTTTTTCTTAGTCATGTTTTGCTCTTTGTGTTATATGGTTTTTATCACATGGTTACTGTCTCCTCTATATATTTTCGTGCTCTGCTAATAATAACCACACATTGGCGCGCGTTTTGATAAAAGGTAGCTGAAGCTACATATTTCCGAAAGCTCAGGCCTGACTGATGCTGTTAGAAGAAAAAGTGTGAATAAAGGAGCATTCCACATTCGAAGGACTGCATTGACTCCATAATTACACAGTGGGGGAAGCGTAGAATTGCACCTTTGAATATCGGTGGTTGATAGAAGAAAAATAAAGGGAACCTTTTAAGCCAAACAAACTTAAGCTAACGTTACGCGCAAGTCAGAAAAGTGAGACGGCATATAAAAACTCACAACGTCATCATCGGCTTCTACGTGCGTACACTGACGTGGTAACTGGACATGTGCAATGGTATTGGTGGTAACTTTGTGGGGTATACGCATGATTTCTTGAGCAAACATTCCTTGAGAGCCTTTTGTTCTCAAAGTTTAAAGCCGCAGAAAAAAAGTCCAGCATTGAAAATTATCAAAACGCATTTCTTTCTTCACGCATATTTTTCTGCTTTATGGCTTTCAATATTTGTCCTAAGTTTCATTTTTTCTAACAAATGCTCGCACTCAGTTTTAAAATAATTTTTATGCTTTTTTGTGTTTTACTCTCTGCTTTGCTAGCTGTATGCGTAGTTAAAGCCCAGTTTACTAGTTCTGCAGAAAGCAAGTTTTTTTTCTTCTTTAATAGACTTCAACCCTTATTTCAACTCTTGGTGCTGATGTGCAATCCTGCATATGCTTCAACCTATCAGATGTGTGAATGCTAAGCTAGCTACGACGTCTTTATACGAGGGTAGTAAAAAAGAACGCATACTTTTTAGAAGCTTCAGCGCTCATGTTATGATAAAGAGCGACAACTCCCATATATCAGGAAGGTACCTGAAGAATGCATTGTAATAAGGAAAGTGAGCTCCTCTGACCGCCCAAATTTTGTGTACTACATGATGTGCTGTCTCCCAAACATTTGCGATCTGGTCAAATTTTCATAATTTCTTCTACATAAGAAAATGACTTTTGTTTTCTGCGTATAAAAACGAGCTCTGCCGGAGTCATCAAAGTCACAATATTGTGCATAGACAAGTACAAAAAAAAAGGTATGTCGAGTGCGTTATTTTTCACAGTTGTGGTATACCAGGGCTGCGCTAAGATACTGAAAAAAAGTGTATTCCGAACTACATGCACCGGTGCCCTAAAATACTTATACTGAGATACATTTGCTTTTGACGTAACAGGATATTCACGAAAGACTTTTTCAAAATAAGAAGAAAGGTATTCCAGAACAGATACAGAAATAGAGATACAAGGATAGAAATACTGGAACACATTTTGATTTCGGGAATCTTGATGCTTCGCGAACAGTTAATTAGGAGCAGGATAATATATTGAATAACGTTTCAACGCATTGAAGTTTTCAAATTGAACGTATCGCTAAAATTATGAAGGAACGCCGTTGAATTAAGAAAAGTAAATCTTAATGCTAGACGCAAGATCTGCTGAAGTGGTTCTTGCGTTAACTTAAGCAGCCACACCTTCTTAAAGAGGCTCTCATTTAGAAAACCTCGATTTATTCTCGATAGGAGATTCGCGAAATGACTTTCCTCCCGAAGAAAATTAGGGGTGCGGCACCTAGCTTTGGAGACAGCTCTCACGGGAGGAGCATGAGAGTACTGCGTCCACGATTCTGAGGCCATGTCAATGGCACACGGGACCATTCAGTGCATGTGGGCAACTATTCGCCACCCCCACAAAGTTGATGACTTGTGTCCTGTCATTGTTTGGCTTAACAAAAAAAAATTATTTCTTCTTATTTGAAAACTCATCAGCGCATTTCCTGCAAAAAAAAAGCTAACGAGGATACCCGTGTCCACCACAGTATCGCGATACAGTTGCCACATAGCAAAAGATTACACTACTGCTATGCAGAGAAAATTTTCGAATGTATCTCGATACATACATACAGATGCTCAAAAGTATCACTCATATCGAGATTCTTATGTAACATGATAGTGTCTAGCCCCGCGGTATACTCCACGCACGGGCTTTGACTGCTTGTCTTTTAGATGTGTTGCTGCCAATATATTATTATTATTATTATTATTATTATTATAAATACAACGCAAATGGAAATGCTTCAACGTGAGTTTCGTAGTCATGAGGCAACGTAAGGG